CAATGCTTCGGTCAAGGGTGGGCATATCCTCTGGTCTCAGGGGAAGACGACGTTGAATAGGACTAGGATCTCAATTATTTGCTCCCAAAGGTCAGTCGGGAATCTGGTCCCGATATGGACCTTCTGCTCCAGCCTTCCGGGTTTAATATGGATTTCCTTGACTTCTGAGGTGGATTCGGCACGGAGCTAACCCTCCTCATACTTCACTGCCTTATTGTTGATGGTTTGGACCCCTAGGTCCTTCTAGTCCAGCTGTTTGCGGACTTCAAGTAGTAGTTCCATGTCATATGTTGGTCTTCCCAGGCAACTCCGATGCCATTCAGAGTAGGGAACTTCATGCACAGGTGCTCCTGGAATATGATACACCTCGGGTCCTCCAGGGTCGGTCTACTCATGATGATCTTATGCGCACATGTTAGGCGCACGATGATGAATTCAACATCTAACTTGGATACGAAGGGCTCAGACCCAACCAGTATGAAGTGGACTCTGCTGCCCTCAGACTTGATTGAGTCCCCAGTGAAGCCTCAAAGTGGGGTTCTTGCCGGGGTCAAGTCCTTGCTATCAAGTCCGAGACCATGGAAGGTATCATAGTACATGATATTCACCAAGCTCCCATTGTCCACCATGACTTGGTGGACGATGGTGTCGTTGATCTCGATCTTGATCACCAAGGTGTCCCTGTGCGGCGAGGCATCGACGACAAATCTGCATTTGTGGAGAAGATGAGATTCCTCTTCACCCTGCATTAGTGGGAACCATGATTATCTCCCCGGCTTATAACACTCAGTCCCATTGTTTTTTTCTCTCCAGCGGTGTCAGCTCCCTGGAAAACCGATACTTAGAGAGGTGAATCGTGGAAGTCAAAATGAGACGAAAGAATGTAACTTAGATTTTAGGCATAATCGCTATCGGAACCAGCCTAAACATGACACCAGAGTTGTCTCTCTAGAAATGAAATCTCAAGAGCAGACTGTTTGCAATTGGAGAGCTTCAACTGGTATTGCCTCCGGTGCCGGTCTCACTATACCGGTGCCAGACAAGACAAGAAATTACGGGAAGAACATGCTAAAATATGTTGAAAAGATGTGAAGATATGGAGGTTGAGAGCTGAGAAATTTCATTTGATCCGATATTTGATTGTGAATAGGCTAAAAGATGTCAATCTTTATCCTATATAAACCTCACTTTCATCCCATAGTCACCACCCATTCCATAGCTTAATTCATAGCTTTTATATTTTTGTTCTTGTTCATTTCTTGGTGTTCTTGATGAAGGAAGTTCGTTATTCTCAACCATTGGTGTTTAGGTAATATTTCCTTTGTAATTTCATTATCTATTACATTCCATTGTTGTATTGTGATTAATACGAGCTTTAAAGGCTATTTTTTAGCTAAGACTAGAGATGAACCTCTATGTCCACTATGTCCACTTTAATCGTTTCTGATATGATGTACAAAATAAAAGTATGTTAATCTTAGTTTATGCTTGCAATTAACATTGAGGTCTAAACCATGAACACTAAAGGATAAACATATATAGTATCAAGAATAGAAATACATTGGGTTTTATATGATACATGTGTGATGTTTCGATATTCAACGAAGTTTTTCAGTAGATGAGTTTAACCCGTGACGGGACTTACACTTAATAAAAACCACACTCTTGCTACATTAACCGAAGTTGGGAATATATTAGTGACATCATATTCATAATTATAGAGAAAGAACTAGTATTAAGCCTTATTAAAGCATTTAGTTGAATCCTGATTGTCTTAGTAATCGTTATCCTTGATTAAACTAACACCAAAGAACAAATTCCTGCAAATTCATATCAATTCTATAGTTTGTATTTGAATCCCGAACTTTATAGCATCAACCATTTCCTCATGGATCGACTTGGTATTTACCGGTATTTTATTACTATATCGGCACTTGTATACTTGAGAGTTTAATACGATCAATTATGTACTTAGCCTTATATATATATTGATGAAATATGACTCTCACATGCCACCATTTTTAGCCTTGATGAATCAATTTTCACTCAGAACTAATTTCACTTCTCTTTTGAGCTTTCAATTAGTAAGTGCTCTTATTTGATTCAATATATACTTCCTCATGAACTTGTTTTCAAATCTCTTTTATGGAAATGTTTAAAAAGAAGAAGTGTTGTGAAACAGTAGTGAAGGTCTCTCCATCTATCATTGAACCACAAGTGAACATAATGTATCCAACTCTTAGTTTCTAGTAGGTAAAATAGTCAACCTCAAACGATTTACAGTTCAACCATGCTGACCGTTTAAGATTTATTTCCAAGAGAACGTTTAATCACCCACCTACTTTCCCTTGTGTTCATTATACGCTTAAATGCTGCATTTGAAACGATACTTTATTTTGACCGCTAGACGTGTCAATTGAGCATTATTTAAGACATCCAAAAGGTCAACTTGTCAAGAACTGCGACCCAAACCCCCTTGGGGGGTGGGTGGGTTGCATAATTCATTATGTCAATAATTTTAATTTGAAATCTAAAAAATTATCTATGTTACAAGTTAAAATAAACAGAGGGAACGTTATGTCTTTTGGTTAGCAACTTTATCATAATTTATCACGAGTATTACTTTCTTAGACCAGCCCTTCCCTAAATCATCACTAGGAGAATGTGTAGAATTTATTTTCTTAAGAATTTTATTATGAAATTTCATAAATAATATAGGTTACATCTCTTGGTTTCTAGTAGGAAAAGTAGTCCATTCCAAATGGTTTCTAGTAGGGAATAAACAAATGTAACATATATAATGTGAAGGACTCTTCATCTATCATTGAATCAAAACTAAACCTGAAGTATCCATATCTTGGTTTCTAGTAGGAAAAGTAGTCCATTCCAAATGGTTTACAGCTCGACCATTCATCCGACCGTTTAATAGTCTTTAAATACTAAGATAAGTTCTACCAATTCACCTACTTTCCGGTGTGGTCATTTTTTCCTAAATGATTTATTTGAAATGATATCTTACTTAGACAGTTGGCCTATGAATATTTATTAAGAAACTCAAAAGGTCAACCTCCCTAAACTGCGACCTAACACCTTAGACCGTTGTGAATAATTCTTCATTTCAATAAACTATTGAGGAAATTCCCAAAATAGGACTAAAAACGTTGTGAAGCTCCAAAAGAGGAATAATGTGTTTTTATCCCCTAAATAGAAGTAATTGTTTTCAAGTTTGAAAACTACAACCATGTAATAAGCTTGATTATGCTAAAATATGACATTAATTACTCTCATTTAGGGATAAAACATAGTAGTAATTTACAAAAGCTTTTACTCCTATATAAGACAATTCTATAACTTATTATGAAATTTCACAAATAACCTAGGCTATAAGTTGAAAGAAAGAGATGAAGTATAAAGTGAAGGACTCTACATCTATTATTGAACCAAAAGTGACCCTTAACTATCCAAATCTTGGTTTCTAGTATGTAAAATTGTCCACCTCAAATAGTTTAGAGCTCGATCATGCAATCGATCATTTAATAATAGTCCTTAAATGCCGGGAAAAGGTGTAACAGTTCACCTACTTTCCCCGGTGGTTATTTTTTCTTAAATGTTACACTTGAAACGACACATTACCTAAACTGTTGTGCTCATCGTTTGAATATTATTTAAAAAACTCAAAAGGCCAACCTACCCTGAATCGCATATCAACACCTTAGACCATTGTGCATAATTTATTTTGTCAATATTTCTATGTAATAATAACATATGTGTACTGATTACAAAATGTGATCTTTAATTAAATTAAGTGAACCGATTACAGTAGTAACTTGAGTCATAATAATTTATGTTGAGTTTTTACATTTAAAAAGCCATTACATTATAATATGGTAACTTTTAGTTTGGGAATATTTTGGAAAGAACATCTAGCTTTATAATGAAACTAGCTTTCAAGCCCGTGCAATGCACGGGCAGTATATAATTTAACTAATTTGAAATTTGATTTCTTTCAGATATATGTAATGTGATTTAAAAGAAAAATATATTTAGTCTAATATAGAGCCTATTTGATAATAATAAATTAAATCGAATTAACTTATTTTACTGAAATTGATTAAATTCTGGCTAAATGGGTAGAATCTCTTGAATCATGAAAAAAAAATTAAAATATATTCTATTTGTGAAGCCAAAAAATATTATATGAAAAATAGTTAAATGGATCTTCTACATAAGAATCTCAAGTAAATATAATTGTTATGAACCCACCGATTTTAAAGAATTCATAATCTCACGTCCTCTAAAATACTTTATTATGCACCTCAAATCTTGGTTTCTAGTATGTAAAATTGTCCACCTCAAATAGTTTAGAGCTCGACCATGCACTCGATCATTTAATAATAGTCCTTCAATGCCGGGAAAAGGTGTAACAGTTCACCTACTTTCCCCGGTGGTTATTTTTTCTTAAATGTTACACTTGAAACGACACATTACCTAAACTGTTGTGCTCATCGTTTGAATATTATTTAAAAAACTCAAAAGGCCAACCTACCCTGAATCGCATATCAACACCTTAGACCATTGTGCATAATTTATTTTGTCAATATTTCTATGTAATAATAACATATGTGTACTGATTACAAAATGTGATCTTTAATTAAATTAAGTGAACCGATTACAGTAGTAACTTGAGTCATAATAATTTATGTTGAGTTTTTACATTTAAAAAGCCATTACATTATAATATGGTAACTTTTAGTTTGGGAATATTTTGGAAAGATCCTCTAGCTTTATAATGAAATTTCTTAAAGAATCTAGGTCACAAGTTGAAATAAAGAGAGGGAGTGTGAAGTGTTTTTGGCCACCCACTGTCTGAAATCCCATATTGGTTCCCTAAAAGTAAATGGAAGAAGACTTCGAGACAAGACTTTGTTGCGTAAAGATATATTCCATCAGCCAATTGTCTACCTTTTTCAGCACAATGCTCTATTATTAAATAATATAAATACTCCTCCAATAATAAAACCGAGTTCGTCACTTGACACCAATCCCATAGGCCATATCCTCCCTCCCTCCCTCTTTATCGATCATCTGTGTTATTTTGTTAGACCAAAATCATCAGTGTGAGAATGTGGCAACCGCTTCTCATCTTCTTCCTGCTGAACTTGCCGGCGGTCCCGGCGGAGATGGTGGAGCTCCGCCGTGGGTTTTACAGCCAAAGATGCCCAGAGGCGGAATCCATCGTCAAGAACGTGATGCTTAAGAACATGATAAGAGAACCCAGAAGCGCAGCCTCAGTGATGCGCCTCCAGTTCCATGATTGCTTCGTTAACGTACGTAATCCTTTCGATCTCAAGTAGTCATTCCCACCGGCGTTTGTTACCTCTGCTTTTCACTCTTCTAAAGTCCAGGGCAACTTAATTTTTTTTTGTCGCAAATTTCTTCATTTTTCATATTTAGTTCAAACATCTAATGTTTAAGTCTAAATCCGCACCTGTTTATGTGGAGATCTGATGATTGTGTGTGGGTAGGGGTGTGATGCATCGGTGTTGCTGGACGACACGCCTACGATGTTGGGAGAAAAGCTTTCTCTGTCGAATATAAATTCACTTCGCTCGTTTGAAGTTGTCGATGAAGTTAAGGATGCTGTGGAAAGGGCCTGCCCGGGCGTCGTGTCCTGTGCTGATATCTTAATCATGGCTGCCAGAGATGCAATTGTCCTGGTAAATCTTTCCCTTTTCACCCCCGTAGTAAATGTTTTTTCTCCCTGTCTCAAACATCACAGAAATTAATCATTGGTACTCCCTCATTTTTTCTTCTCATACCAGATCAGACCAAATCAGACCAGACTAGAAAATTGCAATCCAAGTAAAAACATCCTAAATGTTTTCCCCTCTGATAATTTACTCGGATATGTCGATTGTTCTTAATCTAGCCGTGATAAAATTGCGGCTGAATTGACTCAAACTAATAAATTATTAAAAAAAAATTTAAATATATTTTATTAATGAATGAAGAAAATGTTACATAACAAAAGTTATGTGTTTGATTGAAAAGTCAATTGATAAGGTTGATAAGATAAAAGTAGGAGTAACCAAATGATCTCTTAATTTGGACTCAACTCGTCTGGTATGATAAAATCTGCTTTAAATGTATTTTATTATTGTTTCTGTCTGATTTAATTTAGTCCGATTTATTCCATTTTAGATATCCATGTAATTTCAGGTAAGATCTAGTCCCCGGATTTTATATATTTCCAATTGTTTAATGAAATTCGTAAATGTTTTTCAGCAATTACCCCATCTTGAGTGGTTTACCTACTCGAACAACAAAAACTAAAAGAATCTTCAATGCCATATTTAGTTCTCTTACACACTTTTATATGTGGGTTCTATTTTTATCATAAAGTTTTTTTATGTCTAGAACTTATATATCCTCATATTTTTTATTTTATTTTATAAGGAGTTTTACTTTTGATTAACTTTTGCTTCTCTAATCCCATGTAAAGTCAATGTATGAACATTGTCATAGACATTGTCTACGATTTCTATTGCTTAGCCGCCTCCATACTTACACGCCTAGCCGCCATTCCCATGTCGCGACCGTCTGCATGAATACGCGCATACCCCGGTCATTGCCTTGGTATCCATATTTGCTTGCGGCGACCATCCCCATGCCGTGGCGCCACCTCCGTTCCCATGCCTGCATGCCGCTGCAGCTATCCCATGCCTACACGCCAACCCGCGGCCGCCTCTTCGTGTTTGATTGCCGCAGCCGTCCCCATGCCTCGCCGCTGTCATGGCGATGCCCAGGGGCAGAGTCAGACTTCACTAGAAGAGGGGGGGGGGGGATTTAATACAAGTATTAAATGTAAAGGAAAATTTGCAATTTTGGTCCCATAAGTTTACTATGTGCTCGTTTTTAATCCTGATACTTCACTTGTTCACAAATGAAGTAAATTTGTAACTATGTGCTCGTTATTACGTCTAAAAGTAAATACAATAAAAAACTATAAATAAATTTGTAACGTGGATGAGATGAGAATTAATGTTGGTGGGAAGTGCAGTGATTTTTACCGGATGTGCAATAATGTCGTGCAGTAGTGTCGTACTGTAACTGCAGGATAAAGTGCAGTATTCTTAAGGGAAAATTCCTGAAATCGGAGTAAAAAAGTTTGAAAATTCCAAAATAGCGCTGCCATGTTTTTATTCTCAAAATAAGAGTAATTACTGTCAAGTTTGGAAAATACTACGATGTTTAAAGTCTGGTACTGCCAAAATATGACAGTAATTAGTCCTATTTTGGGAATAAAAACATGATAGTCCTATTTTGGAATATACAGACTTTTTAGTCCTATTTAGGGTAATTTACCTATTTTTAATTGGACGAAAATAGTGTAAATTGCAATTTTTTAAAATAAGGGTATTTTGGTCATGATATATTTTAATTTGAATGATTTTTCTTTTTATTTTTGCTTTTCAGTCATAGGAATGTGTAAAAACATAGCTAGTCGTAGCCAGTAGCGTATCCTGAAAAATTCGTCAGTGGGGGCGAACTTGCCTTATATATTATCTCACGAATGTCATCGACTAATCACATTAAGAAAAAATACTGCAAAGACAATTATAAATAACAGAATATTCACTGGACAAAATCATTGTGATATCATACTTAAAGAATCACAATAAATAAATTTCACATGATGTTTGTAATTTGTTCAAAATTATGCTAATAAATAAACGAATGAAATAAGGGAATTGAAAGATTAACTATGTACTTGAAATTAATTTAATTTCGAATTCACAATTACATTTAAAGGAAACAGTTTATATTGTGTACAAAAAGTAATTGTTAAACTTTATGAATCAAAATATTCTCAAAAAGATAAAAACTAAATAAAAATATGTAAAGTCACTTTAAACAATTTAAGGCTTTAAGAGCAAAAATAAAAACAAAATTCAGAAAAACTTCAAGCAACTTTCGAACCCATGACCTTTATAAAAGGTTATTAAGTGAGCATCTGGAACCCTTCCTTCTACTCTGCAGTCTCTGCTGTAGAAAACTTTTGGTATTCTTCTCGTAATTAATATATAATATATGTACATTTCATACACACACACACATATATAATTATTTATTGAATATATATAGGGGTTGGGGGCATCTACCCCACGCCCCCACCCTGGATACGCCACGGGTCGTATTTAGGGAAACTCAATATGTTATATCCTGTGAAATTTCCCATATCAGAATTGCCATTAGATTAGGGTATTGGGGGTATAAAATTAATGTTTACTTCTATTTAGTAGGAAAGAAAAGATTTAGCCTGGACTCCTATTTAGGGAAAATCAGTACCATGTATGTTTTACTCCTATCAAGGACAATTACTTATAGCAATGAGCCAATGAGAATAATGATCTAGTTTACTTCTTGGTACTTCAAAATAATGTTTTAATTCTTTTCATATAGATTGCTCTAATATTGTAATAAATGAATGTAAATTTTGTTAATGTTGTAATACAGACTGTGGGGTGAATATGCAAACTTTTTATAACTTGTAAAAATTCATTTATTTACGTACTGTGTCAATTTAAATTGATTAGACTTAGATAGAAATCCTTAAATCCAAACGGGTATGGTCTTGGAAGTGTAAAAGTAAACCCAGCGAGTCTCATTTATGGCTTTGGATCTAGTCTTTGTAGAAGAATACGCTCTAACTCATTAGTACTTAATTTTCAGTAGGTAGTCCTACCTAATGATTTCAAGCGCGCCGAGGTGAAAAAATTTGTTTTTCTGTGAGTTAGTTATGTACTGAATACGTGTTTTTATAGCTATCTGAAATAAAAAAGCGGTTAGGATAATTAGTAAAAATTATAACAATGACATTATGTATGTTGTAATTGATTCAGAAACAATATGTGAAGAAAATCTCATTTAAATGATGTATTTCTAAATGATGCCCAGCCCCTAACGTTTGTCATTGGCTTTGTGTTTTTGTGTGAGTGTAGAGCGGAGGGCCTTACTGGGATGTGAATCTGGGAAGGCTGGACAGCTTAACAGCAAGCCAGCAGGATTCAGACGATATAATGCCAAGCCCGAGAGCAAACGCAACCTCCCTCATCCACCTCTTCACCACACTCAACCTCTCAGTCCAAGACCTGGTGGCCCTCTCTGGCTCTCATTCCCTGGGCCAAGGCAGGTGCTTCTCCATCGTGTTCCGGCTTTACAACCAATCAGGCTCAGGCAAACCCGACCCTGCCATCGACCCCGAGTTCAGAGAAAAGTTAGACAGGTTGTGTCCACTTGGCGGGGATGGGAATGTCACGGGAGACTTGGACGCCACGCCCGAGGTCTTCGACAACCAGTACTTCAAGGACTTGGTGGCTGGCAAAGGGTTTCTCAACTCCGACGAAACGCTTTTCACCAGCCCGGAGACTAGGGACTATGTGGTCATGTATAGCCAAAATCAGGAAGCATTCTTCCAGGCATTTATTGAGGGGATGATCAAAATGGGTGATCTTCAGTCGGGCCGGCCTGGAGAGATCAGAACAAACTGCAGGCTTGTCAATACCCCGCTGCTGCCTGCCCAAAGCACGTTTCTATACTGATTCAAAATGAGTGCAATATACCCCCATCCCCATATGTTTAAACTATTATGTTTGGGTTTGGAGAACTGACTTATATTTCGTACTAAAAGAGCGCTTATTTAATTAATTTCGTACGATTCTAATATTTACTATTATATCATTTGTTTGGTGAAATAATGGGAAAGAGTGCTTCCGATGGGAGCCCCGACAAATATATTTATAATAGAGAGAGTTATCAAATATATAAAGTATTCCTAATTTAATATTAGGCTATTACACCCCTCAAACTGTGTGAGAGATATAAAACGCAGGTTGTCTTTTAAAAAATGAAATTGCTGACTAGAAACACTCTTAGTAAGTATATCCGCCAACTGAAGACTAAGCTAGTAGGCACATATTTAACAATAAGATCATCATGATCCACGCGTTCCGAGAATGTTGAACTGGATTTGTTGTCAAATAAGAAGCAGAGATATTGTCACAGAATAAATGTACCGGTGTCGTGACAAGAAAGCCAAGCTCGAACAGGATAGACCAAATATGCAATGTGTCCTGGACCATGTAAGAAATAGCATGATACTCCGCTTCCGTAGAGGATTTGGAAACAGTTGGTTGCTTCTTGGACTTTCAAGACACAAGATTGGGCCCCAGAAAAACAACAAAGCCAGTGATGGAGCGAGAAGTATCATGACAATCAGCCCAATCTGCATCTGAGTATGCCATAATGCAAGTGGCCTTAGGCGTAGGCTGAAGTCACAGACCATGGTCAATGATACCCTGCAAATATGAAATATCTAAAAAACCTCTTGACAACGAAAAAGTGAGTGGTACGAGGAGCATACATAAACTGAGTCAACGACATAAGTAACATCAGGTCTTATCAAAGTTAAGGAAAAAGGGTAAAATAAGCTCTTGTATTATCTTCAATCCGTCACTTACGCCCCTGTACTAAAAAAAGTATCATATAAGTACGCATACTTTTAAAATACAATCAACCAAGCCATTTAACCTGCTATAGTAGGTTATTATTATTTTTAAATTAAATTGGGAACATTGATAAATCTTACAAAAATTCACATAAATTTGAATAAATAATCTAATAATAATATAAAAATAATATAAATGTAAAGATAGATTATAAAATTTTAAAACCATTAAAATACAAAATAAAAAATTTATAAAACTGAAAAAATAAAGTGAAACTAAAAAACTTGAAAATAAAAATTACAAAACCTTTTAAATATATGTAGAATATTCAAATATTTTTTAAAAAAATAAAAAATATTGACTTTGATATTCTGAAAATTTTCACAATTTGTTTTTTATATTGCTTCAAATTTTAATATTTTTTTGAGTTTTAAATATTAAAAACTTGCTATTAGAGGTCAAACATTGATAAAATGGTCAAATTGTTCAATTTTGTAAGGGAAAACTATCACATAAGTCCTTGTATTATAGCCAAAATGTCGATTAAGCCCTCATACTTTGAAAACACCCAATTGAAACCTCAAACTTCACAAAAATGTTCAAAGTGACATTTCAGCCGGTAAAAAATCATTTTCCCAGTGAACGACCGTCCTACCATGAGCATCATGCTCCCACTCTCAAAACGACGTAGTTTTGGGTGATTTAAAAAAAACGCGTGAACAGTATACGCGTGTACAGTGACTTTTTTATTATCATCCCAGTAACATGGATGGTGTAACTCGCGTGTATAGATATGTAACTCGTATTATTGATCAATGTAAATCAAGCTCATCCAAAATGTAACTTGTCAAATATTGATTTCAATGTAAACAATGAAAAAAAAGAGTCTAATTGCACAATTGCTTTAGGTTAAATGTGAATATGTTTTGTTATTAATATCATGGCCATAAAAAATAATTTTTTAGAAAAGATCATTTTTTGTTTCAATAGCAGGGGTTGATTTTTTAATGTAACTCGTGTTATTACAAATGTCACTTGTTGGAAAATTGAACAATGATTTTTTTTGTGTTTGAAATATTATAAACATTGATTTCAATGTAAACAATGAAAAGTTGATCCTAATAGCTTAATTACTTTTTTAAAATAGTGAATATGTTTTTTTTTTAATATTAGGACAATAAAAATGATATAGTAGGAGTTTATTTCGTAGTGTAACTCGCATACATTAAGATGTAACTCGTGTATATTAAGATGTAACTTGCGCAGAAGAAGTTGTAACTTCATGATATATTATCAAATGTAACTTCAAGAATCAAAATAAACAAACTCAATGTTTTAAAAACTCCTAAAAACATATAAAAGTGATAAAATATTATTTCTCATAAAAGTTTATAGAAAAAAGAAATTGTAATCATATTTTAATAATCGTGATCATGTTGTTTATATTTTAATAAAGGAGATTAAATAATTGAAAAGAATAGAAAAGAAAAAGAAGATAGAAAATCAGGAAGAATGGCTAGAAAACGAAGGGAAAGCAGGGAAAGGTAGTGGAAGTTTCTGACGCAACAAGGGGAGAAGCAAGCGGTGCCTGGGAATGGCAGCGGAAAAAAAGTGCAGTGGAGATTATTTCTCAATCATATGGAAATTATTTAGAAGCAATTGAGGTTGGATGGGAAAACAGGAAATATGAACTGGCAAGGGAAAACCTCTCAGAAATTGCAGGCTCCAGATTTGGATGAGGCGGAGATTGTGGGCAGGTAGGAGTTGGATGGGCGCACAGATCCAGTTAACCTCCGGTGCATCCTTCTTTCCCGGCGGTCGCAAGAGATGACTTCGACTAGTCTTCTGGTCAGCCACGATGCAGTTATGTTCTCCGCCGCTTGCAAGAGACATCTCTCGCTGGTAAGCCGACTGTGAATCCATGGGGCGAGCCGCGAGCGTAGAGGAAAGAGCAAAGAGAAGAAGAACAGAGAAAGGAAACGAGGAAAAGAATAAGAAAGGGAAAAAAACCGAAAAGAAAAAGAAATTGCCAACAAGATTCTAATTGAACGTTTTCTACCGGATACCGGACTCCTACCGGCTAATAAGCCCAATTGAAGGTTTTTTAAAAGTTCAAGGTTTTGATTCAATGTTTTCAGAGTGTGAGGGCCTAATCGACATTTTGGGTATAGGATGAGGGTATATCTGATAGTTTTCCCATTTTGTAAAGTAGGCGTACTTATATGATACTTTTTTTGATACATGGGCTTAAGTGACGGATTGGACATAGTAAAAGCGCTTATTTGGCCCTTTTCCCCAAAGTTAAATATTGTAATGCACCTACCATACTGCGATACTCAGTCGCATCTGCGAGAAGCTCACCATTCGTGAGAGATAAAGAAGTACGGGACGCAAGAAGAGTGCGAACATGTTTCACAGTGTGTAAATGAGATCGAGAGAGATGATCAGAGACATATTTGTGTTGAGAGGGGAACAAACCTTTACTATTACGAGTGGCCTGAATGCCAAGAAAATAATCAAGATCACCTAAGTCTTTCATTGCAAAGTGGCGAACAATAAGGTGAATAAACTTAATGACAACAGAGGAAGAATTATCAGTAATAATAATGTCATCCACATACGATAATAAATAAATAACATAAGTACAAGAGGTGCACGAACATGGCTGCTACCACATACGATAATAAATAAATAACATAAGTACAAGAGGTGCACGAACATGGCTGCTACCATGGGAAAACTGGAGGAATTGTCTCAAACAGGGAGTAAGCACCAGGAACGTCCGCCACAAAAGGAGATGCAGCGCTGGGGATGGTTGGCGTCCGGAGGCAGGGGGAAGGCAGCGGTGGCACCGTCGTAGTGACGGCGGCCCTGGTTTTGTAGATGTCAGCATCGGTACAAAAGGTGAGGACCGGCGTCGTAGTTGAAGAAGCATAGGCAACCGTTGATTTTGCCATAGAGGAGGAGGAAGCTGTGACAGCGGTTTGGTGGCTGTCGTATGTAGAGCAGCAGAAGAGGTGTGCGCCGATGACATGGCATCGACTAGGGTTAACGAAGAGAGAGGGAAAAGTTTAGGCTCGTGATACCAGTGAAATAATGGGAAAGAGTGCTCCCAATGAGAACCCTGCTAGATATATTTATAATAGAGAGAGTTACCAAAAATACAAAATATTGCTAATTTAATATTAGGCTATTATGTTTAACCTTATACTAAAAGAATGCTTACTTAATTAACCTCACACTCCCTTTGTCACATAAAAAGGTTTCCGCTTCGGTTTACGATACTTGACTGATGATAAAGCAATTTGATCCATTTTCACACTCAGATTATTTTTAGTAAATAAAATTTACATATTCAGAAATTATATTAAAAAATTTACAAAGTCTGACCAAGAAAATTATCATTTGATAAAAGTTTGACATATACAACAAAATATTAATAGTAGTTTAAGTTGATCATGTGAATAGTGCATGAGAACTTCATTTTGTGATGAAGAGTTGTATTTATATAATTTGTTTAATCTCATACTAAAAGAGGAGTAGTCTTATGAAATCACATGTGACTCCCTTATGGAGTCACATGAGTGTTGTGACATCATCCCTACCATTTATTTTTTTAGGAAGAACCCCACTAAAAAATAAATGGTAGAAATTATGTCACAACATATCATGTGACTCCATAAGGGACATATGACTCTTTAAATTTTTGCTAAAATAGCGTTTACTTTATTAACCTCGGAAAAAGGGTCAAATAAGCTCTTTTACTATGTCCAATCCGTTACTTGCGCCTCCGTACTAAAAAAAGTATCATATAAGTATGTCTACTTTACAAAATTGATCAATTTGGCCTTTCAATCAATTTTTGACCTCTAATAGCAGCTATTAATATTTAAAAACTCAAAAAAATGTTAAAATTTGAAGAAATAAAAAAAATGTGAAAATTTTCAGAATATCAAAGTCAATAGTTTTTATTTTTAGAAAATATTTGAATATTCTACAAATATTTAAAAGGTTTTGTAATTTTTATTTTCAAGTTTTTTAGTTTCACTTTATTTTTTCAGTTTTATGATTTTTTTTATTTTGTTTAATGGTTTTAAATTTTTAAAATCTGTTTTTACATTTTTTTGTGATCGTCAAAATGGATGGCTTAAATTACCATCACAACATTCAGATAGGGGGTAAAATGACAAAAGGACCACAAGTAACCACCAGCCTTCGAACCAGACTTAGAGTCACTCACCTCCAAAAAAGCAAAATAACTCGTTGATCCTATAATGGGCATAGACGAG